TAGCCACATTACACAAGGCACTCCAAACCTCAGTAGAAGAAACAGTTGTGGGAGGAAGCGGATGGCATTTTCCCTGGCAGCAGAACCTGCTTGTACCTTGCTTACATGTGGGGGGATGTCTTGTAACAACTGAGCAATGACTATGCATTTCGTATGCAGTGAAACAATAGACTGGCATGTCATATTATATAGGGATATTTTAATCCTGCCAGTACTGTGCCTGGTGGCAATGATATGAAGGTCAGAATAGCAGAGAAAGGTTGGGTAAAAGCAGGGTGGGCATAAACCCAGCCCTGTCCACCCGTCTTCAGACTCCTCTCTCCTCCTGTCCCATACAAGATTACTCTCAGCTTGATCTGTTTTTCCTTCCCAGTTACCATTGCTCCCTGGTGGTGAGTAAAGGAGCCAGAACAGAGCAGGAATGAGATCTGCTCCCCTTCCCATCCCATAACCAGTGTCACGTCTGGCCCGTCTGGTTTCCCAGAGCAACCAGACATGATGTCACACCCAGATGAACTTGGACTTGGGGGGCCGGGCAGGGAAACAATGGTCCGGAGCGAGGCTGGACCAGGGCCCAGCACAGCCACAGGAATAGCAGGGGCACTTCCGCCAGCAACTTCCCTATTTCTTGCTTTCTCCTTCTTTTCTGTTTCACCTTTCTAGTTTTATTTCATTTTCCATTTGTTTCTTTTTCTTTTTTCTACCCCCTTCTCTTAATGTACTCCTATCACTTTCTTTATAGCGCTGATACTCTTTCCCCCTGGATGCCTTTTGATTTTTAAATAATTTTCATCCCTTTTGGGATGTGGGGGTTGCTCTACCCCATCATGCGTAAGATAGTTGGGAGCTATTGAGGTATTTCTCAGCCAACACACTGCCAGGTGGGCTCCAACATCGGCAAGGACCCTTTAATGCCTGCATGTGTGTTTTGTGTATATAGTGGAGGATATTCCTTGCTTCATTGGCTAGGATCAGTATATTAGGGGGAGGGCAGATGTTACCACAGTAACCAGTGACTTTTCTGAACTCTGGATTCAGGCAGATGGAGGAGGACAAAAGAGAGGAAGAAAAAGACAGAAAGAATTGGGAGAGGGAGAGGGAGAGTGGAATGGAGAGAAGGAGAATGCCTACCAGTTCCCCCTCTCTCAGCTGTGGGTTCTGGCTGTTGCCCACAGGAACAGCTGCAGGTCCCATGAGGTGTGACAGAACTTAGCTTCTGGTCACACGGCTTTAATTGTTGTTGTTGTTAAACATTCATTTAGTGCTAACAGTGCATGCAGAGCCCAGTATTGACATAGTCCTTGCCCAATTGGCATAAAAGTTGCAGGCTGCACCAGCAGCACAAGCAAACTAGCATTCATTTTGTCTGATGTGGCTGTAGCATCCAATGTATTTCTAGCTGTTGTCTTCTCCTTTCAGTGATCTGCCCTGTCTGAAGCCAGGCATTACAGAAACATGACTAACACTGACCCACATCTCGCAGGTCATGTCTAGAAAAAGACAGTCCATAACGTGGCATTATAGTGCCCTCAACCAATCCATCCCAAGGGTCTGGAGCACAGCTGGACCGGTGGGAGTCCCGTGTCCTCAGTTTTTATTTATTTATTTGGAAAACGTATATGCCGCCCCATTCGCATAAGCCTGCAAAATCCTACCTGCCCCATTGTTGTAGAACACTGTTTTTCACCATGGTGGCAGCCAGCTGTGCAAAACGAAGATTTTAAAAGCCACCAATAGCAAGCCTTAGATCCAAACCAGATCTGCTGGGTCAGCCATGTGGTCTGCCCCATTCACAAACAAAGAGGGGAGAGGAGCAGTTTGCAATAGGAAAAAGTATGAAGGTGAGAAAAAACACCTTTCTACCCCCTTAAGACCCTATGTCCTGCTGCTTGAAACACTTTTCTCCCAGCCCATCTCCTATAACAAAGGTGGGCCAGGCTACGGAAAAGAGTGCTTGAAGCAATGTAGCAATGCAGTGAAGTAACATAGGGGAGGATTTAGCTCCCCTTTGTGTTCCTTTTCCTTTGAAACAATCCCCCCACCCCCGCACCTTCCCACTTAGTCTGTAAATCAGGCAGACGTGTGAATAAATACACATGGCTTCCTGCATCACAGGTGCCTCCACACAGGGCTTTTATAACACCATCGCCTTGCCTCATTCACAGAATTTTACAAGGGGTCCAGGTGGTGATGTCTTCCATTTATAGCCCTCCCATGTTTTCCTGCCGCTATTCTCATTCTATTTATTTAGTTATTTGTAACACAGAAAATCCATTAAAGACCAAATTGCTTCACGATGCCTTCTTATTGGTAGTGTTAGAAGTTCTCTGTGAGGAAACAGAAGTGCCTAAACTTAGGAAGCAACAGGTGCAGAGGCCATGCATCCCTCAGAATGATCTCTGCAGTGGGGAAGGTCTCTCCCCACCTCCCCAAAGAGCTTGCTGGAAGCAATTCCCCCTAAGTTCATGGGGTTTGGCTTCTGGGATGAAGTTGAAATAAAAGAAGGCAGCCTCAGGATTGAAGTGGGCAGGAGTGTCAACTAATAGGTCACTTTGAAGTGAAAGGTAAAGATGAAGATAAACATGTGGTGATCTTTCAGAATGTTTGTGGCTCAAATAGCTGTGTAGCTGGAAGCATTGGCTGCAGCCTCCATTAGTTCATCACTGTGGGAGAGAAAGTGGGAGAGAGGGTGTGCATTGCACCTTCTAAATTGAAATGATGTAGCCCCAGCACTGCTCGAATTCAGTGTGTACCACAACATAGCCTTTGTGGTCTTTGCTAGGGTAGATCCCACTGAGCAGTGGTGCTCTTCTGATGTCAACTGACCTGTACCTCCTGCTGAAGTAGCCTAATGCTTCTCTGGAATAGCTGAGGCAAGCTCATAGGCAGCTCAGGGATGCTGTTAGAAATGGGAGCATCAAAAAGTAGTCACATCGTCATGTGTTGGGAATAAAAGAGGCAGTTGTTGTTGGTGTGCTTTCCAGGGAAAGAGTGGCACTGAGTCTTCAAATGGGGACAGTGAGGGCTGGGAAACGGTCTGTCGACACAGAGATACTGGAGAAGGGAGAGCATATCTCAGGGCCATTGTCTCCAGGTGTTGAAGCAGACCTTGGGAACCAACAGGACCAGGAGAGAACATGGGAGAGGGGCCAGAGGAGCCTGACCCTGACCCCATGACGTGGCTTCAGGAGAGAAGGGCAAGCCAACTGGAAGGCCTGCAGGGATCGAGGAGGCTAGTTCTTCTCCAGAAGGGCACATCCAGAGGAGTGGAGTCCAGGGTTATTGAAAAGGAGGGTTCTTGGAAATAGTTTCTAGTTTGAGTTCAGCCAACTGCTCTGTGCATGCTCAGAGACTCTTTCTCTGTAGGCTATTAGTTTGCTGGCTGCACATTGGAAATAAAGTGGTTTTGACAAAAAAAAAAAAAAACCCTGACGTTTATTTGAGAGGAAGAAGGGGGGAACCCTGCTCCCAACACCATAGAAGGCTTGCTCAAGGCATCTGAGAGATACTGTGAAATGAAGGGATGCCTGAACATGGATTCATCCCTCACTAGACTTTGTCATAGTGGAGTGACAACTCCTGACTGGCTTGTTACTGAGGCACAACATTCTGATTGGCTTCTGAAGCATATAGTCTCAGACTCCAGCCAATTGCAGAGCAAGGACAGCCAATAAGTGCTGCTGCTGCTGTTTTGACTGAATGTTTCCAAATCCCTAATTTGGATGGGTCCCTCCCCGCACCATCACCATCCAAAGATGTCAGGTTTTGCTCCTGATGCTGTAATTTAATCAGTGCTTCGTGATTGGCTTACAAGGCTAAGCATCACTGTACACCTCAGCCAGTTGGAGGATTTAGGTTGGAAATACTTCTGCACTTGATTGGCTGGAATCTGTGACAATGACTAATGGTCAGGAATCTGGTTGGCTGGCAGGAATTCACTTGGGTGTAAAAGCTGGCATCTTATTTTATGAAAGGAACGTGGATTGGCCAAACGGGAGATTTGCAGAGCAAAAAGAGTTTGGAGCGATTAAAAGTGTGTTGGAAAAGAGCAGGAATTAGTTATTTAAACCTCTAGTCACAAAACCTGGGTTCTGTTCTTAACCTGAGGTGTCACTGACTTGGGTAGGGTGGGTTGACTTAGTGCACACCTAGTACATTTTCACTGCATGCCTCAATTAGAGGCCTTTCATAATCTGTGTTAAGTTTCAAATCCCTTACTGTGAAAGGTGTGTTTCCAGATTCCCCTCTCTCTCCCAAAGTGATCCAGTTGGGCTGAAGTCAGAGGAGAGGAGATAAAGCAGTGCAACTGAAAGTTGAAGTGCCTGCTTAGCTATGGGAGGAGAATGGGATCTGTTGATTTGTGGGTGGGGAGGAGCATTGGCTTTTCCTGGTGCTCTGAAAGTTAAGCAAATGATGTTGGCACTTTCTGTTCCAGCCATTCTTATAAATGTGCTTAGGTTCATCAAGCCCCCAATCAGGTATATCCTTTCCAGGAAGCTGTAACCAGGAAAGATATAGAAAGGAGAGCCTTACCCAGTAAAGCAAGCATGCTTTATAGTGCCAGAGTAAGCAAAGAAAGTATTTGGCAGTGGCAAAAGGAGCCAGGGAAAGACTGAAAGCTGGAGGGAACAGAACTTCCCAGTTTCCCCAATTGTGACTGTAGAGCCCCTCCTAGTGGCCATTCTTAGTGCCTACTTTTTTCTCCAGCTGCTCACAATTCTCCCCCTTCAGTTTCTTCTTCTACCACACCTTCAGTGTCCTCTCAGTGCTGCAGATGGCAATGCTGTCCACAGGGTGGCTCCTTCCCCTACTCCAGTTGGCATTGGCAGAGAACAGATTGTCTCCATGCAGTGCCTGCAATTTCCACCCCAACCTTTCTGATCAGAAAGAATTTTTGAACCTTCTGATACTCTGCAGCCTGTGGCATACAAATTAGAAACCTGTCTTAGGGTTCCTCTCACTACTTGAATTGCATAAAATAAGACTTGGCACCAACTTACCTTCCCCCTTCACGGGTTGGCAGGGAAAGAATTCCTTTCCTCCTCGGGCAGTGGTTGTGTCCATTTAAGTTTCTAGCATCTAGAGGGAGAAATCAGGTGACTGGGACTGTGGCAGTGAGCAGCAGGAAGTATAGTCCATGAATGGTGGGCCTCTTGCTGGATCATGGCACCCTGACACAGCCCTGCCTGGAGGACACTGTCATTTCTAAGGAACAGAAAGCACTGCTAGGTTTGCAAAAACAGGTCTAGACCCATCCTTTGCTCTGCCCATGGCAATGGCCTCAGCACTTTACAGATGGGAGAGGCATGGGGGTGGGGAAAGCAACTTTTTTAAGGCTAATTGTATAATTGTTTATTTATGTTGTAAGCCGCCCCGAGGCTTTTTGCAAATGGGGCGGCATAGAAATTGTATGTATAAATAAATAAATAATAAACTTTCCACCTGAAGCTTCTCACCCCTCCCCCTATCCATAACAGAGGCAGTTGTTGCTACAGCAGGTCTATCAAAGGGTATGAATCAAGCTTGCTTCTCCAAAAAGTAGATAAGTGGGTTAAGTAGAGGAAAGAAATGGTTAAGTAGAAATAATGAACAGAGCCCAGAACTCCCATTCACTGAATGGATGGCTGAAATTAGCACTCTAACAAGTGCTGCAGCTAGCAAAGACTCTTGCTGTCAGCTGCAAGTATGGTGCTTGGGATATCATCAGGTGGTATTTTCTGTCAAGAGGAAAACAACCCTGATAATGACGGTTCAAATGAAGCTCTTTGTCTTTCCAGGCAGCAGAGGCAGCTCAGGCTTCCACTGAATTCACTAAACACTTGCTCAGTATTTGTTGCTGATAAGGAACCAGATCCAGGCAAGGCTTTAAAATGGTGCTCAGCTCTGTGTTTTCCATGCAAGTTGGCAGTGCCTTGACAGTGGTTGCCAGAAAGGCAAGATAAATAGAAAGAAAGAGTGATACATCAGGTGTCATATATAGATTCTGAGGGGAAGGGATTTCTTATTTTAACACAAATGCCAGCAGTGGCAGAAAGTCCAAACCTTGTGTAGAGTGTCAGGCGTGGTCTGGGTTCAAATTCCCACTGAGCCTTGATGAAATAGGCCATTTACTCTCTCTCAGCCTGACCTACCTCACAGGATAGTGTTGTGAGGATAAAGCAACTGTGTGTAGCATCCTGAACTCACTGGATGAAAGCATATATGCAGAAATCTATACCAAGGGGAGAATAGGTTGTTGCAATAAATACAAGTCTGCCACTGAAAATGGCCATCTGTCACATTCATTGCTTCCCATTCTGTCAAACCTTGTTAGGTTACCTTCAGCCTTTGTGACCTCAGCATGCTGTATGATTTTGTAATATCCACCTGCAGCAGTTGATGTGGGATGCAGACAGGAAAACACACTGCTCAGTAGCATCCAGGCATGGGCACATTTTACTAGACAGAATAGAAAAGGAAGGAGCACCTAATCAAGGATGTTTTCATTTTTATCATGCCTTAACACTTTGAGGAATGAGCCAGCAAGCATACACAATGAATGAAACAAAAACAGGCACTTGAAAACACATGTAAAAATTTGTACAAGTACATGTAGCCGGCAGCAGGTATTGGCTGCAGCATCCTGTTCCATGAACACCTAATGGAACAGCACCCTGGATAGAACAGCTGAAAGAAGCTTTAGCAAAGGGTTTTGAAACAAAAGGAGATGAAGGAGCTTCAGTATTATAGAGCAAAGTGAATAGAAATCATGGGTTGGAACACTAGAGAGAACAAATCAGGACCAAAAAAAAAAAAAAAAAAGGGAACAGATGGTTGCTAAAACTGAGTGAAGGCAGCAAAGCAAAACTTGGTTGGAAGAAAAGAGGGATCATTGGGTATGGCCTGATGAGGATCAATATTTTGATATCAAGGAATGGAAAAATGAAGAATATAATTATCTGTTCTAATTCTGCTCCCATTTTTGTGTCTTCTTCTGCTCCAGTCTTGGTTCCTCTGACGGGATCTTCAAGCGAAGAAAAATAATAATGATGATGATGATGATTATGATGATGATGATAATAATAATTTTTCACTCAAGCCCTGCAAATCAGAATCTTCAGTCCTTAGCCCATATCTTCACTGAGCTGCTCCTCTGCAAGGAAAAGTAAGAGACGTTGGGTAACACTACAGATGAAAAGCTTAAAAAAATCACGCTGGACCTCCCCAATCCAAAACAGATTTTGCATTTGAGTAGAAGAGTATTGTCTTCTGCAAGGAATCCCATCCACACCTACAGAAGTCATGCAACCCTCTGTTATACTGATATATAAGATAGCTCTGGACATGCCATTCAGGCAATGGTTAAAACAACCCAAAAGCAATTTCATCCTGGGGAAAGAGTAACATTCGCATCAAGCAGCCTCAAACCCCAAAACTGCACCAAGGTTTGCTAGGGATTATGTTTGTTGGGGAATGAAAAAGGAGACTGTTCCTTAGAGTCTCACATGCTTACCAGCCTGATTCCAAGGAGGTTTCTGAGCATGCTAAAAGAGTGGGACAGGAACTACAAGCAGATCACAGTTGTCCTAAATTCCATTTAAGTGTCCTAAATATATTTTAGAAAACCAATCCAGTGCATTGCATTGTTTCAGAACTGGAAATGGCTTTAAATAGAGCAGTATCAGAACCATAATATTTGATCTTCACAGAACAAATTTCTTCAACCAAACATAAATTCCCTTGTGCAGTTTCCTTGCTTATCCAAATTAACATTGCTTTCTCATTTGTTAAAAAAGCAAAAGCAGAAATGTTCCTGACTACCAGATGCCCAAACAAATTTTTATTCCAGAGCAAGGG